GAGTATTTTCTTTGAATTTGTAAAAAAAAGGGGGCAGATATTATAAGATTCTTTCTTCTTCGGCTACCTTTCCTTTCATTTAATTTAATTTGTGTTTTTGTTGAATTTGTGTTGTTTTTAAATGAATAAACTTTAAACTAAAATATTGTATAAAAAATAACTTGTCATTGACCTGTGTTGTGCAAACAGCTCAGGGTGGTAAAAGACAAAGTGGTAAAGTTTGTGCCAAAAACTAAAAAGTAAAATTGTCTCTGAACAAGTGAAGTAGGTTAGTGTCCCTCTCCTCCTCCCCTCAGATAGACCAGCTCTCTGTATAAATAACACCCAGAGTTCCTTGCTGCTCACTGAAACAAAATGTCGGCCATGTTTTAAAAGGGGCATGAAAGCTCCTCCTGGAGATATTTTTTTCCTCTACAACACTTGAATCACAACGTGGTGGAGCAGATGGGAGCGGACAGTCAGTTTGCGCCACATGTAAAGCTGGACATGACCCGTAAAGCAGTTTTCTACCTTGATCCCGAACGGAGCATCTTCAAAATTTACCAACATGTACCGGTCCCCTCGGCTCGCCGGATCTCTGCCTCTGAGCTGTGGAGATAACAGTAGAGAATTACTGACGGTCACCAAGACACCTTGGTTTGACAGGCGAGCTTTGCAGCAGTAACAATGATAATCCGAAGGCGCAATCCCGCCTCGGGAAGCTCCCAACATGAATGTGTCCCGTGGTTACAGTACCTTCATAAAAGTCTCAACAGCGCCTTTTGCTATGTCCAGATAGGTAGTGCCCAGATGGGTGCGCTGGTTCATTGACGCGGACGTGTCTATCAGAAAAAGTAAAACGGGCATTGTGATGGTAACGACACGTTCTGCATGGACTTGGTGTCAGTACAACCGGCCAAAAGGCTAAAAAAAATCTTTTGTTCTCCTGCCGCCTGTCTCACCTCCCAGCTAGCCAGCTAGCTAGCTAGCTTGCTAACTGCCTGTCTCACACATTCTTTCAAAAAAGTGTAAGAATAGTGAGTATAGAAGCCCATTCCGAGAAAACTAAGCGAAACGCCTCAAAACSTTGGGGCAGGTTATTGATTTACGAGGGGTTTGGATAATTTTTACTATATTTTGAAAATATTCCTAAGTTTCATAGTAAGAAAGTTTCCCCGACAGTAAGTCCCTGCTTCTCCCTACACTGAACGCGCTGTGCCTCCTCCGCTGCTTTTAACCGGAGCTCCACACCTGACCCCGCCTCCTAAGAGCGCTTTCGCCGTCACGTGCGAGCACACTCGCTTCTCATTGGCTGCRCGAAGCCGCTTATTAGCATATCCAAATAAGGCAAAGCTAAACGTGTTCTGCGCATGCGTGCCTCACCGAAAAGCAAGGAATGCAAGAAAAAGAAATGTGTTTTTACATTTTATATTTAAGAGCACAACACGCTTGGTTGTGTGCAGTTCTTCAGAGTGCTTAGGCAATTTTTTTAAAGTGATATAATCAACAATAGACTAGTGTTTCCCATGAGAAGTGATTACATAATCAACATTTACTTCATCCTATGCACGGGCGTGGGCCACTAGACAAACCTTCAAAACTAAAGAGAAAAACGAGACAAATAGCTACTACTTAGTATTTATTTGTACATATAACTTATAAAAGGCAATCGGGTTATACGGAAACGTGATGACGGAAATAACACTTGTGTTTTTGAACYAAAACTAATTTAAACACACACACTTGCACTAAGCTGTGTCTCTTTCCCACAGTGCTACAATCTAAACGTCGCACACCAGACAACTAGTTAAATATTTGAGCATTCACTTTGCAGACTTGTTTTTTTAATCCCCATCAGATATGGTCTTACACAATAATCTACATATTGATCTTTTAACAAGGTTCCACATCATCACGGTGTGGTGCACTTTTAAACAACACATGACACTGAGCGAGACGTGCACGACTGTGCAGTGCAACCTAGACAAAAACATCACCACTTCCGTAAAAAACAAGACGAGACCGACTAAAAGAAAAGAGCAGTCTCAGGATTCCTCCTGAATCGCTTCACACACTGCGCTACTTCCGGYGTGTAGCTGAAAGACGTTTCAAAATAAAATTACCACACTGTTTAAAGATCTCAAACGCAAAAATAGACATTTGTTTAAACACCTTCAGATGATATCAGTGTATTTTTGCGCCCTTGTGTTTTTTATGAGACTCATACTGTCTTAATAATTTTATATTTTAACAGATTGGCAGTGGTTCACGTTTGTTGCATCTTTTGTTATGAAATTGGTAACCGGAAGTACTCTCTGTGCTCTGTTTTGTCAACAATTTCCAAGAACTACTGTTTTACAGTTTGACATGTCCTTTTAATACTGATAATACTTGTTGCCCACGCAGGATATTTAAGAGCTAATTAAGGAGTTTTTAAATTAGTTAATCGAAATAAACTTGATTATATGTGAGAGATTTCCTTTGAAAACTAATGTTTTACTCTGAAGAAACCTTGACTGACATTGGTTGTAAAAATCGGTCAAGTTTCCTAAAATGATCAAACACAGACTCAACGACAGACCTAGTCATTTACATCAGGCCTGTATCTTTACAAGTGTTTTAACCTCACTAACACCAAGTTTACAAATACATAGCTGAATAACTGTACTTTATTTATTTATTTATTTATTTATTTATTTATTTATTTATTTATTTATTTATTTATTTATTTATTTATTTATTTATTACAAAATGAGACCTGTACATAAATCTTTCATCATTTTTATTTCCAAAAATGGAAGAATAGACAAATTTCTCTATATGTATAGAAATTTCCTTTCACTGAATATGCAAAACATGTTGATTTTCAGTWGTTTACAGCCTGTCATGCACATTCCCTACAATAGCAACACTAGTATTACTAAACAAATGCTGTTTAATTGGTATATTTGTATGAAAAAATGTGTAATGTTTTGCACTTACCATTTTTGTTAATACATTTACCCAGTAAACACACACAGCAAGCAAAACTGGTCATTTTTATTTCATTTCTTTTGTGCACATTGTCATTTTTTTAGCTTTTTGACATCAAAAGGGAACATGTTTTCATGTTAAGCAGAATACGTATCATTACAAACTCTGTCAACACCCTGATTAACATTAAAACATATTTCAAACAAAACATATTTTATCAATAATGTTTTCCTGATAGCAAATGTCCACTAACTCAAAAACTGTTTCAGATAGTATGTAATTGTTTTTCTAAAATAATAGTTTCCATCATCAACTTCAATTGAACTCTTATCAAGTTGGTAGGGAAATGAGGAGTGCATGGTCACACTTGTCATRTGGGCACATGCATACACAAATCAACCACATGAAAAAAGTGGAAACACAAAAAAGGAAGCAAGACAAGACAAACAACAAAGTCAACATTGGTTTTCACCTGATGAAAAATGCATTTGGCAAACCAGTCGATTTAATTTCTAATTTAAAATCCCAAAATAAAGCAGTTGGAGGTTAAGTTGCAGGCTGCTATCTTCTGCTTCACCACTAGATGTCAGTGTTTTTACTAGTCCACTTGACCTCCATGCTGGTCCTCGTTTTGACCACGTGACCACTCTACTGTAGAGAGAAAAAATAACCCATAATGTAGAAATCATAAAAACTATTAATAATAATATTAACAAAATTGTAATATTAATATGTTAGTGTGCATAAAACTAACAACAATGTCAGAATGTGTGTGTTATGGATGTACTAACTAAAGAGAAACAGGAAAGCAGATTTGATCTTATTTACCTCAGATATTTGTATTTTGGTCATTTCCTCATGTCCTTATACAGGCAGTGACTTACCTTATAAACATGGGTGTCAAGTGTGTGTGTGTGTGGGTGGGGGGGGTCTGGGGATCCTCCTTGTTAAGTATTACTGGGTATGCAGTGAACATTTAAGTGTCAGCTGGTACTGTAAATTTTTATTTTTATGATGATAAGAAACAATAAATAGACTATATTAGTAGTTGAAGTCATTTTTCAGCTATTTATTGACTGACTTCAGATCTGGTTTGGATCATTGTTGATTTGATTTGATTTGATTTATTTATTTAACAGGAAAAGATTACTAAAAATCAAGCCTGACTCAGCATAATTGCTGTTTTACAGCAGGTTCCTGTTCTGCAGCACATAAAACACTCAGAATTACAGCATCACAATCATATCATTATACACCATAGACACAAAGACAAACAAGCATACCAAATTTCAAAAAGGCAGCATTTGCAAAATAGGACATCTAAATATGAGCACAACAGAAAGTGTCCAGCAGATGGCAGACAAGATTCTTCTTAAAGGGCTGTAGTTTTGAAATGGACTTTATGTTTTGAGGAATGTCATTCCATGCTTTAGTATAAACATAGATCATATATTTTTCTATTTTTCTTGTTTGTATCTAGCTGTTTTACATTATTGTTGTTGAATGAAGTTAACATAATTAGCAGTTTTAATAACTATTGTGAATATATTGAAAAAAAAAAGAATTGTGACACATATCCAGTTGGGCTTGCTGTTAATCAAATAGTTGCAATGATGGCTGTGAGCTGGTGTTCTGTCCTCCATGTTGTTAGGACAGGATAGGCAGGGCTCACTGTAGGTTTTTTTTAACTTTATGCTAGTACTCATACTAGAATCAAATTAAATTAATTCAAGGCAATGGCCCTCTTTTGTATGTGACTAACCCAGGGGTCTGCAACCTTTACAATCAAAAGAGCCATTTCTGCTGCTTGACTCACTAATGCCCCTTTTCCACTAGTACCACTTAGTGTAGTGTTGGTACGGTTTGGTACAGTTTGGTACGGTTCCAAGCCATTTCCATTAGGCCAGATYCATGGAACCGGCACTTTTTTTAGTACCTACTTCATTGTGGTTCCAACCGGCTCCAGCTGACACCAAAATGCAACGTCAGAACCTTGTTCATCACTGATTGGCTAAATTTTTGCAAATGTTTAAAAGTTCAAAAGTTATTCATCAAATGCGTTTCCATCTCTCATTTTGCCTATTAACTTTTTTCAAAATACCTAAAAACCACCTCCACCAACCGCCCAAAACACACCCACTGGAACCAGACTGGAACATCAGTGGAAAACCAACCGTACCGACCCGTACCTACACCGACCGTTCCGACACTCCACCATGGAAAAGGGGCATAAAATGTGTCCAGAGCCGCAAAACAAGCTACAACTATGATTATCAACTGGTGGTATGTGGGCCTTTTTGAGGCCTTTTCGGGAATCTTTACGGCCAGTGGAGGTGACATTATACAACAAAAAAATATATTGTAAATTTTCTTATTTATTATTATTTTTGCACATCAGGACAAACGAAAAGACCAGATTCATGTGAACAAGAAAAATACATATAGTTTATACCAAATTTCATAAAAACTAGTACAACTGAACTATTCAGGCATACTTTTTTCTAATTCTTATTATTATATAGTCTTCAAATTCTTTAAAGGTAATTCTGATGGATTTGAGAGAAAGATCATAGAAAGAAGTTGGATTATTTAATCAAACAAGAGAGAAACTTTCTGATACTACATCTTAAAAATACCTTAGAGAAAAAGTTCTGGAGGAGATGCCTAAAGAAGGTTGAGCTAACATGTTTTACTTTTTGTATTAGTAGTATTGATCACATATTTACATTCAAATTGATTTCATTTGTGAGTATAAAAACAAACCAAAAAAATTCTGTTATATTTAATCACATTTTCAAAGAGCCACTGCAGAGGGACCAAACAGCMACATGTGGCCCCAGAGCYGCATGGTGCGGACCCCTGGACTAACCTGTTTGTCCAGGTGGAGGCAGTGCTTATAAGGCTGAGTTCACCTGAAACTCATCAGACTGAAGAAGTCTCTTGGAGGAGAGACAAAACGTTTCACTAAAGAAGAACCATCCAGAGGACCTGCTTATTTTTTCTKTTTGATTTTTTTAATTAATTCAGTTTGAAACCATTAAATTCAGTTTTAAATCAGTGAAACTATTTTTCAAACCAATGCATTTAATTCCAAGTTAGGTCTACACAAATACAGATGCACTCTAAACAATTCAAATTCAGTTTATTGCACAGGTCCCCCCAAAGACCTGCTCGTCCTTTAACCACCCATTTTTGCAAGGAACCTATTAAATTTCTTCAGTATTATTACAATTTTTCTACCTTGTAA